AATAAGAGAAAAGAAAGATGGGAGAGGGAGGGAAAGAGAAAGAAGAGAAAAAGAAAAGGAAAGGAAAAGAGAAGAGAAAAATAAAAACAAGAATAAAAAGGAAGATATCATAGTGACTCACAACACCCTGCAACCCCTTCTCCACTTCAAAACATAACTCCTTTGATCTATGCTGCCCGATGGCGTAACCACTAGGGGCCAAGGGGAAAATATCTATCTTTGGAAAATCTTCCCCACCCCTTTATAAATGCCCTTTTCATCCCCTGGAAGTGCCTAAAAACCTCAAATTTCGCGCACATTTCTTGTTAACATGGGCCAATTTCCTCTAAAAATTGCATATTTTAGGGAGTTTTGACCTATTCCAACGAAATTAGAATTAAAAACACCGGGGGACAAGGGGAAAATATCCATCTTTGGAAAATCTTTCCCAATCTCTTGCCAAATGCATCCTCTGAAAGTGCCTAAAATTCTCAAATTCTTTGCGCGCATTTCTTATTACGGTAGGCCAATTTCCTCTATAAATTGCACATTTTAGGGAGTTTTCATCAATTCCGACGAAATTAGAATTAAACACTAAAATAAATTGCACGCTTCGCGCGCATTTTTTTTGTTGCTTTTTTAGGTTTAACCTTTTAAGTTATTTAAAAACATAATAGTCCCAAACTCAAGAAAGATTAAGGTAGATCGTTTTAACCTAAAAAAATGCCTCAATGTGTATTGATGGTGAAAGAATATGTTTGTAATAAATAAAACCATGATGAAAATGCTTATATTTAGTTTCAAACACACGTGTGTGTGGCCTTTATTATAAATAAGATAAGCCCTATGTCGTATTGTTTTTTATATGGGGAGTGGGGTGGTTTGGGTATGGTAAGTTACTAACCGGGAAAATAAATACCCACTCTGACCCAAGCCCCTGTTACGCGCCTGGTGTTAGCGCCAATGTGTGCCCTTGTGCGGACAGGGGATGTACCTGCCCCCCTCTGAAGCTGGAAACCTTGTTTTTTCAAAATAAATTGACGGAAATTGCTATTATAGGCCTAATCAATAAATTCCTCATCAACCGATATAACCTTAAACATTCTTGGAATTGACATAACATTACTGATGTCGTACACACCCTTCAGTGTGAAATGTGGCTCTCTTTGCAAGCACATCTAACATCTAAGGAAAGAAGAGCTTAGTGTACCAGATAAAATAATTTTTTTATCAACATCATTACATTATGCTAATTTTCATCTTTGTAAGCGCATAAGACAGTGCAAATTATTTCTGTGACAGTCTGAAGTGTGTAAAGCTCCATTTTATCCCATACATAGTCAAAATATTGGGGGATGAGATTCAATGGCTGTCTCTTATACACATCTAGATGTGTATAAGAGACAGCTACGCCTATGGTCGCAGTGCAAAAGTCAAGTTTCGCGGTGCAAAACTAAAGTGGTGCAGTGCAAAACGTAAGTGGCGCAGTGCAAACTCAAAATGCGTGTGCCACCACTTTAATTTTGCAATGCGCCACTTGCCTTTTGCACAGCAATTGTAGTTTATCCTTTTTATGGAACGCCAAAAGGACAAACCACAAGTGGCGCAGTGCAAAACTAAAGTTGCACAGTGCAAAAGTCGAGTGGCGCAGTGCAAAACTAAATTGGTACAGTGCAAAACTAAAGTGGCGCAGTGCAAATCCAAATGCGTGTGCCACTACTTGACTTTTGCACTGCGCCACTTGACTTCTGCACTGTGCCACTTGACGTTTGCACTGCACATGACTCTTGCACTGCGCCACTTTCGGCGTGATATCGCCAAAAAGGACAAACAAAAATCACAGTGCAAAACTAAAGTGGCGCAGTGCAAGCTCAAATGCGTGCACCGCCACTTGACTTTTGTACTGTGCCACTTGACTTCTGCACTACGCCAGTTGACTTTTGCACTGCGTCACTTGACTTTTGTATTGTATGGAACGCCAATTTTGGCATTAAAATGAAACTAACAACAATATAAATGAATAAAAAAATAATCAGGAACACATAATTCACTTTTTCTTAATAATTTCACAACAACACCACCACCCCGTCGGGGAGAGAAAGCAAAATTCGTCGGGGAGAAAAAAAAATTATATGTATTTTCTACATATTAGTAAACTGTATAATCAAAATTAGCCGTTGAAACCCCTAAATTGTTAAAATTTTCGAAACCTTTTAATCGAAGCTTGACCACGCCCACATTGCTTTCGTCTGGGAAATATGACCACTCGTCGGGGGCATCGGCCCCCTCGTAGGGGACCTCGCCCCCCCCCCCCCCCCCGTCGGCAAATCCTGGCGCCACCCCTGCCTATGGCACAGTTGTCAGCCATGGCTACTAGAGACTAATTAGAAGCTTTAGTAGTGATGGGTTATACGAATAAACAAATTGCTGAAGAAATGGAGGTAAGCGTAAGCACCATAAAAAACCTCCGGCGTAATTTCCGATTGAGAAAGAGTGACCTTTCGAGTGATATTAGCGGTAAGTTTGAAATAATTTCTGTTGCTTTTTGTTTCTACATCATTGCTAGGCTAGTCAGGGTAGACTACTCATATTTATGCTAGGGCCAGTGACAAAGGGTCGACGCAACTGACGGGCCCAGTTAGGAAGATCGATTCAATAACATACATTTTCACATTGTTTAAAGCTCATATTGACATTTTCAGCCTTTAATTTTATTAATTAGACCAATAATATCTTATAGAGTAATAATCTTTTGGCAAATCAAAAAAGTATAATGAGACAGATTTGTTTTTTTTCACTCAAATAGATTTCTTCATCTTTCCTGTTTACAGTTTGACAAAATGTAAAAAATATTATATACAGACGGTTTTAAGGATTTTATTCTGTGTGATTAGACTTCTACAATGATATTAATTTTATTGTGGTCTTAGTGTGCGACAACGATTTTCTGATATTTATATATTGAGAAATAAATACTGTTTAGGCATTTTAATTATTCATATTTTATTACTGTGGCCTTTAATAATAATAATAATAATAATAATAATAATAATAATAATAATAATAATAATAATAATAATAATAGTTCATTCTTATATAGCGCAATTTACCTGTAGGCCTTTTTTAAAAAAAAAGTTACAACTGTACTTTTATTGTTATCGTTACCTGTGTAAAAGTATTACAGTATTATGACTACATTACTATTATTATTATTATTATTATTATTATTATTATTATTATTATTATTGTTATAATTATTATTATTATTATTATTATTATTGTTATTATTATTATTATTATTATTATTATTATTATTATTATTATTATTATTATCGTCGTCGTCGTCGTCGTCGTCGTCGTCGTCATCATCATCATCATCAGTAACTTGGGAGTGACCAAGTGACAACTTCCATTTTAACTTTTCGGTATGATAAGAGAAAAGTATGTATCCTGGTACGACAAATCTTTACTGAGCGGACAGACAAGTAAAGATGATTGGCGTTATTTAGTTTATGTAACAGCGTGCGCGTATGAGTATGTATCGACATGTAATACTGCATTATATAACAACATGTAAATGTAAAGAAAACAAGTAGAGGCCCAATAATGAATAATGATAGAAAAATAATGTCGAATGTAACATTATTTTAATATAAAAAAAAAGGAGCCCAATAAATCCAAAGAAGTTGAAAACATAAACAAGGCTTAATTTAGGCCAACGGTAACACTTTGCTGCAACAATATGTGATTAATATACTTTGTGGGCGCGTTTTTGAGTAATAAATAGGAATAACACTTTATTATTTGAGCTATATTTATTCAAACTTCAATGTTCACAACAAACATACATAGCAGCAATAAGGCTGTTACGTTACATATGGTGTTTACAAAGTTAAAATATTAAAACAGCATGGCAATAAATAAATAAATATATAAAAATAAGAATACAGAAGTTAAGTTATCGGAAGTTAATTACAACAGATCCGGGCTTAGAAGACTACCGTATGTGTGCCACAGTCATTCTCCTACTGATCAGCAGAGAAAATAATCATTTGAGACAAATGCAATTTATTTATTTAAATATCTTTGCCGCGTTTAAGCACAACTCTTAATTTTAATGCTTATATATATACATATATATATGTATATATATATATATGTATATATATACATATATGTATAGATTAAAAGGCAAAATACTGGAAAACAACAATGCTGTGGGAAACAATGGCTGGATCTCAGTAGAGATACAAAAATGATAAGCAACAGCTAAAAAGTAAACGTAAGTAAACAGCCAGAAATAGAACCAGAGCTTTCGGACAACACTAGTCCTTCCTCA